GAATGCCTCTCAGCATAAGAAAGGAACAAACATATAGGCAGCGACACAGGTGGGTCTCAAAAGCATGTCAAGTGAAAGAAGCCAGGTGTAGTAAACAATTCTATGATTCCCACTTTTGTGACATTCTGAAAAAGTCAAAAGTACAGGGATAGAAAATAGATCAGTGCTTGTCAGATGCTGGGGTGAGAAGCCTGAGGGAACTTTCTGAAGTGATGGAAATAATCTATCATGTAGTGATTACCCAATGGTATCTGTCAAACTTACAGAATTAGACACCATAAGGGGTGGATTTTATTGTAGGTACACTGTTTTTATTAGAATGGGCTTTTTTAAACTAAAAAAAAATGTTTAGAAACAAAGAATAGTATATCCATAACAACCCAGAACTAAAATCCTAGGCAGCACTAATATTGTGCAGGGTATGGGATTCAGAGAGAAGTGAAGGCCACAGCAACTTCTCAGTGGTTTAAAGAAGTGCTACTTACAGGGTGGTTCACCAAGTATGCGTTAATAGTTCTCCATGAGATAAGGAGCTGGTACCAGACGCGAATCGGCTATGTCACAGCAAACTCTGGTTCACTGGATGTTATTTTTATAGAAAGACATTTTTGCTATGAAGAAAGGGTGTGTTGATTTGTATCCAGACTCAAGACCCTTGTTTCATCCTAGAAAGGTACTTTTCTGACTAGCACTAGGTTAGACTACTATCTTATTTAGGAGGAAGATGAGACTATAGATCATTTTAAAACATTGATAGAAATGAATATTTAATATTTATAAATTTAGATTTTAAGGGTAGCTCCATAAAAAGAAAAAATAGATTATATATAATCTATAGGGGTATACATGTATACAATCTATATACATATATAATCTATATATGGAGAATGTGTGTGTGTGTGTGTGTGTGTGTTTTTTCTTGTGGGAGAAATCTGGGGATTGGATCTAGGAGTATACTACCTCTGAGCTATATCCCCAGCTCTTTTTGAAAATTTTGTTTTGAGATAGAGACCTACTAAGTTTCCCAGGCTGGCCTTGAACTTGCAATCCTCCTGCCTCAGTCTCCCAAGTAGCTGGGATTAGAGGTGTGTGCCACTGTGCCCAATTTTGACTATTTAACTTTTTTTTTTTTTTAAAGTTTATTTGTTTTATTTTATTTT